TTGCCTCTTCAAACATGTACTTCTTTGACTCCACATGTCTCTCAATAGTGTCCCTCATCCTCTTCAGGGTGCCTGGTCCTTCAAATGCTGCTGCTTCTACAAGGAGACAATCATTTTCATGCACAGTTGAATAGAAATACCGAATTTTTCTAACCATAAGGCGCATCGGATCATAAGGCGCATTAAGCAAAACAAAACAGTAAGATAAGTCAAACTTTACTCAACTCATTCTTCTTGCTTCCTCCACTTCCGTATGTGAAATGTGAAAATGAAAATTACCTGAAGCGCCTCAATGCTATGCTTTATATTAACCAAAATGTCATATAACTGTATAGTGTAGTAATAAGTGGACACGACCCTGATAATAAAGGCATTAGACTACGTGTCCTTTAGTGGTAGAATGTTGGAGACTCTCGCTCACAGTTGTCTGTAGAAGTAGATAACAGGGAATCATCTCTCAGTGGAAATGTACTAGAATACTGTGGTTTAGACTAGAGTGAGACAGCTTGTAATAAAACTGTTAAGCGCACACTGCCATTTGGAGATTCACTGCAGTGTCATGTAGGACGCATCTCCCTTCTGGAAGTAATAAAAGTGTAAAATGGTCTACTGAGCAGTGTGTTGTCTTCCATTAGATGCCAATGAGGAATCGAAAGAACTCGGTGAAGTGTTGATATTTAACACATACCATTGATTCATTATTGTTGAATTCTCTCACAGCTGCTCTATTCCCATGTTGTTGCACTATATTAATGACTAACCTCGTATTGTGGATGGATTATCTCAGCTGTTCTCCTGACTGAAGTTTGGTTCGTTTACAGCATCTTGACATGCAACTGCATTTGTCCCTAATCATCGGGAACCCCCACATTAACTTTCATCGAGTGGAAAAAAGTTAGCATTCATCCTCCAGCTTCACTGTGTTTATGTTATGCAAACATAGGTGTGTTCCTAGCGATTACGTAGCACATCATTATATACCATCTAGTCCAACTTCAGTGTATAAAAGGCTCTGAGATTTTATGTCCCGCAATATTGTTTGGGGTGGAGTTGTGGGAAATGACGTAGGCAGAGGTTTGAGGTACTGCACTGCTGCTCCAGAAGGGAAGATTGTATTTCTGAGTTAGTTCTGTTACCTCCTCGTGCAAGTTGTGTTCCTGTTTGCCATTCTTCACCGTGATGCTCCGAGTGTTCAGTTCATGACTAGAAGTAAATATCCTTAAATATGTTATTTGGCATGTGCCACTGGCTGCTGCCATTATGTAGTAGTTTATTTGGCCACATGACGGCACCAAAGTTCCTTGTCAATGGTTAGAGTGAATGTTTCTGCTTATAGTATCGCATTACCGCTGTGCTTAATTGGAGTTATTATAT